TTAGTTGTTAAGGATATTTATGTAATTGCAAATGTAGTTTCAAAATCTTAATAAAGTACTAGCGTAACTGCTTAAGGGAAAAAAAAAAAAATAAATAAAAATTATATAGTTATATTTTTAATAATATAGTCAATTTGTAATATATTGAATTCTAAAATTTTGTCATCACTAAAAGTATATAACATATAAAAAAAAATTATTCAGAATAATCTATAAATTTGAATAGCCACTAATAACTCACTTATAATTTTATTTTTAAATCATTATAATATTATACTTTTCTATAGTAACAGTAATAATGATAGCCAAAATTTAATCTTATAATAAGAATTATACTTACATTATACTTTTCTATAATAACAGAAATAATGCTAATTAAAATTAAACTCATAATAAGATTTATACTTATGAGTCTATATTATTTAATTACTAATTCTTTAATCTATTTTTTTTTAATGTATTTATAAATCAATTAAGTAAGTACATAGTAAATCTATTTTTTCTACTAATTATAGACAAACTGAAAAAATTTGCTTGTAAATTGTACTTTGATAATGATAATTTAATTTCTGTGAAATATAGAGACCCTAATATTTGCAAAATATGTAGCTGTAAAATTTCTTCTAATTTTTTGCAATCAGTAATTTTACTTGACTGCAGACACTTCTTTCACTAGAAGTGCATTATAAAATATAATTGTTGTTCTTGCAAATATAAAAACTATGAAATACTAAATCAATATATTGAAATGCCAACTCTATATTGTCTTGAAAAAATATTAAACATATCATCTTTTTAAGCACAAGCTAATGAACTACAAGCACAAGCCAATGAATGACAAGCACAAGCTGATAAACTACAAGTACAAGCTGATGAATGACAAGCATAAGCTATTAAACAGGTGCAATTCAATGAACTACAAGCACAAGATAATAATAAACAAGAGCAAATTAATAAACAAGCACAAGTCAATAAACTACAAGCACAAGTATATAGACAAGCACAGAGCAGGCAAGCACAAAGCAGGCAAGCACAAAGCAGACAAGCACAAAGTGGGCAAGCACAAAGTAGGCAAGCACAAAGCAGGCAAGCACAAAGTAGGCAAGTACAAGATTGTCAAGCACAAGGTGAGCAAGTGCATAATAGGCAAGCACAAAGTGAACAAGCACAAGGTGGGCAAGCACAAGACAAGCAAGTACATGATAAGCAAGTGAATAGTGGGCAAGCACAAGATGAACAAGTGCATAGTAGACAAGCACAAGTTAATAGACAAACTAATAAACAGGTTAGCATTATTAAAATTTATTATATAGTGTTATATAATATTCATATTATAAAATGTATATTAAAAATTAATTTTAATTTAGAAAAATGAGTCTGCAAATAATGTATTAAATCCTTTATTGACATTATCAAAAAGGCCACATAGGTCAAAAATACCAAAAAAAATAACAGAAGTTGTTTTTTTTTTTTTTTTTTTTTTTTGGAGTTAAGGTGAGGTCATGCCTCAGGTCTGTTTATTCGAACATATTGTT